TATGGTCTTAGCACGTTCGAAGGTAGAGGCAGGAGGTTCAAGGTTATCTTTGGTTACCCAGCAGGTTGCAGGCTAGTTTGGGCTATATGAAACCTTATTCAAAAAATAGAAAATAAAGAAGAAAACAAACGACAACAAATGCTGGCAAGGATGTGGGGAAAGATAGAAGGAACTCTTTTTCTTTCTTTTTTTGAGGCAGGGTTTCTCTGTTTAGCCTTGGCTGTCCTGGACTTGCTTTGTAGAGCAGGCTGGCCTGAAACTCTCAGAGATCCGCCTGCCTCTGCCTCCTTGAGTACTGGGATCACAGGTGTGCGCCACCACGCCTGGCTGCTGATAGGAGGAACTCTTAATTCACTGCTGGAATAAATGTAAACTTGTCCAGCCACTATGGAAATGAATATGGAAGTTCTCAAAAAACTGCACCTAGCTGGACCACTATTGGGTACATATAGCTGAAGGACTTTGAATCAATAAAATCTATCTGTCACCTCAGACAGTAGGTTTTTATTGTTGTGGTTTTCACAATGGCCTGGAAATGGAACCTACTTAGATGCCTGCCAATATATGAATGGATAAAGAAAATGTAGTACACATATACAATGCAATTTTATGCAGACATAAAGAAATTTAAATCGCTGGATATGGTGGCACATGCCTTTAATCCCAGCACTTAGGAGGTAGAGTCAGGAAGATCTCTGTGAGTTTGAGGCCAGCTTGGCCTACACAATGAGACCTGTTTGGGGGTCGGGATGGAAATCATGACATTTGCAGAAAATAGCTGTAGTTGAAATGATTGCATTAAGGGTTAATAAACCATACTCTGAAAAACAATCATCACAATTTCTTTTATATATAGAATTTAGGTTTAAAATTATGTGTCCTTTTATCCCCTCCTTCTTCCATAAGACTGACGAGACTTGATAAGCTATGGGCAGATGGCAGGGGAAGAGAACTCCCCCTTTAGGGTGGACTAGGGGATGGGGATAAGGGTGAAGAGGAAGGGAGGGTGGGACTGAGAGGAATTGAGGAAAGGGGCTTCAACCGGAATATACAATAAATAAATTGTAAAAAATAAAAAATACAAAACAAAGCAAAAAAATTATGTGGATGTAACTGGAGAGATGGCTCAGCAGGTAAGAGCACTTGTTGATCTTGAAGAGGACCCAGGTTGAGTTCCCACTGCCCACCCACACTGTCTAGTTCTAGAGATCTGAAGCCCTCTTTTGTCCTCGGTAGGCACTACATGCACATGGTGCACAAACATACATGCAGACAAAGCACTTATATGTATAAGACAAATCTTTACCGTTATGTGTGTATATATGTACACACATATATATTTGCTAATGTGTGTTTGTAAGTGACAAAATTAGGAAGGGGCTCATGAGAGGTGAGGCAGATCTCTTAAGGAATGTGGGAAATAGAAGAGTGGGACACATGATAAGAAAACAGCAGGAATTAAGGGAGGAAGCTGAAGCAGAAGATGGTATAGAGAAGGGAACTGGGGATGGGAATGAATGAAAACAGGTATACTGACATGTTGGGATCAGGCTGTACTTTGCTCTAAGTTACTCCGTATTTCGTAAAACAGTGTTTTCAGTGTGTCTTGCTCTGAGAGACTCCATTTTGAAGAGAGAGGATGACTTCAAACCTGGATGGTCATAAAAACAGTCCATCTGTCCAGCACTACCCACATAACACAGACTGAAAAATGATTTATTCCTGTGCTGAGACAGAAGAAGCATATGGACAAATTAAAATATCAGAAAAAACCAGGCCCAAGAAATTATGCAACAGACCAAGGAAAGGATGTGACTCCCTCGCTTAGCACTGAGATGGTATTGGTTCCTACTGACCTGGACCTGTCCCATCTATCTGTCTACCAATCTGTCTGGATCCTCCTTGTCCCTCTGTTCCTGGAGCTGGTCTTTTGTTTGTTTACTTTGTTTTGAGACAGGGTTTCTCAGTGTAGGCTTGGCTGTCCTAGACTCACTTTGTAGACTAGGCTGGCCAGTAGTTCACAGCGATCCACTTGCCTCTGCCTCCCAGAGTGCTGGGATTACAGGCATGTGTCTACTGGAGCTGGTCTTAACTCTGCAACTTCACTCTCCAATTTGTGATCTGAAGGAGCCACCACTGAAGTTTCCCCAGATTCCTTCCTGAAGCTCTGGTTCTGTTAGTTTATCAGTAGATATTATAAAGTATCTACTGATATTCTACCGACTTCCCTTCTTTTCAGGACTGAGCAAACTCCTGAACTCTGCTGTGCCATCTTAACACTTTACTGCCATTCTGTAATCATATGTAAATATACATACACACATATAACTGTGTGATCCAAGAGTTGATATTAGTAATTAAAATAGGAATAAAAAACCCTGTAATCACTCCAGTTATAGTTACCAAGGAAAACAGGCATATCTACGAAATTGATGTCACAGAACTATTATACCTTGCAAAATTATCATTACTCAATAAATTTTGACATTGTTGAAGACAAGGAACAGGACAGGAGCAGTCCACAGAGGACCTCTGAAAGACTTTACCCACCAGGGTATTGAAGCAGATACTGAGACTCATAGCCAAACTTTGGGCAGAGTGCCGGAATCCTCATGGAAGAAGAGGAAGACAGAAAGTCCTGGAGGGGACAGAAAGTCCTGGAGGGGACAGGAACTTCACAAGGAGAACAGAGCCAAAATACCTGGGCCCAGGGGGTCCTGCAGAGACCGCTACTCCAACTAAGTACCATGTATGGAAAGGACCTAGATTCTCTGTTCAAAGGAAGCGCATTGGCTGCTCAGCCTCCAAGTGGGTTGCCTAGTAAAGGGTACAGGGGCTGTCTCTGACATGAACTCAGTGGCTGGCTCTTTGATCACCTCCCCCTGGGGGCCGGGGAGTGAAGCCTTGCCAGGCTACAGAGAAAGATGATGCAGCCAGCCTGGATGAGACCTGATAAGCTAGGGTCAGATAGAAGGGAAGGAGGTCCTCCCCTATCAGGGGATTAGGGAAAGGGCATAGGGGGAGAAGAGGGAGGAGGGTAAGTAGGACTGGGAGGAGATGAGGGAGGGAGCTGCAGCAGGGATACAAAGTGAATAAACTGTAATAAATAAATATATAAATAAAATTAAGTTAAAAAAAAAGATACAAATGGGCTGGAGAGATGGCTCACAGGTTAAGAGCACTGGTTGCTCTTCCAGAGGTTAGGAGTTCAATTCTCAGCAACCACACGGTGGCTCACAACCATCTATAATGAGATCTGGTGCCTTCTTCTTGTGTGCAGGTGTACATGCAGACAGAGCATTATATAAATAAATCTTTAAAAAAATACAAACACGTTCATATTTTTACATAGTTCACCCACACTACATATATGACAATGCCATGATGAAACCAGTATTTTGTATGTTAACCTAAAAAATATCTTAAAAACTTTTTTCCCTCTTACATTAAATCCCGGTGATGTCACACACAGGCTCCTTTCCTGGAGTTTGATGAGGGCTGCACTGTCCACATGCTTCGTCCCCAGTAGGGTGTCTAGCAGTAAGTTTTGCAAGTGACTCATGGCTCCTCAGCTCTGAACCGGAAACTGTAGTTGTAGGCTCCACGTGTGAGAATACAAGTGCCTCTGACACTTCAGTGTTAGTATCAGTGTGTGTCCTTTAAAATGTTGGAAAAGTGAAAATGGTGGTCCACAACCCAGTGCTTACCAATACTCTGATGGGAAAAAACAAACAAAAAAACCAAAAAACAAACAAAATAGCTATGTAATGATTTACCGAGATTCAAAAACAAATGTCCAAGCCTGTTATCTCAGGTCCTCTAGGGGCAGGAAAGTCCTAAGTTAAAGGCCAATGGGACCCTACCTTAAAGAAAAAAAAAAAAAAAAAGATCTGCGGAGACTCTATACAGATCTGCGGGGGAAGCTCGGTGATCCTCCGCTCAGTCCGCAGACCCGCAAAAATGAACAAGTAAATAAATGAAAGCAAAGTAAAGCAGAAACAAAAAGAAGCAACCAGTCATCCAAAAAATCTCAAAGCCGCCCACGAAGGAGAAACATCGAGTTAGAATGGATAACCGTCTCATTCCTCCTCCTTGACCAGACACTGGTCCACAGACGCGAGCTCTAAGACCACACGGGAGGCTCTGTACAACTGCGTCCACCGCCACGTGCCGCCATCTTGGACGGCTCTCCCGGGGGCAACCGCCACAAACGCTCGTTCACCGCAGGTGCCTAGCGGGGAGAGCGCCCCTCTCTCGCCGCTCCCCTCTGGGGCGTGACCGACGGGAGGCGGGCAGCCCAACGGGGGCCGCCAACTAACCACCGGACACCGCGGGGGCCCCGAGGGGCCACGCTCCGCCAGGGGGGCGGGCGTACGCGGGGCCGGGGTCGCGGGCGAGAGCTGATTGGCTGCGACAGCTGCCCGTTAGAGCGAGACGGGCGCGCTGCCTCGTTCTCGGTCCGCCGCCCGCCGCGGCCTGAGGGCCACCACCCTGCCTTGCGGCCCGACGAGGTGTGCGCGCCTTGGTTGTCTGACCCCCTCGTAGGCGAGGGGCCGTGTGGAGACCGCGTCCGGGAGACAGAGGGCCCCGAACGTTCGCGCGTTCTGAAGCCACGGTCGCGGGCTGAGGTCGCGGACGCACTGTGGGGCCGGAGAGTCAAGGTCCCTGCCCGAGGCCGAGGCCCCTACGGCAGGGCGGCTCGCGCACGGGGTCGGCGAATCGGGGACCGGGATTCTAGGGCCCTGCCCCCTGGTGAGCAGGCTTGATGCCTGAGGACCAGCCTGGGCGCAGGCTCTGAAGTCCCCTTCTCCCTCACCCTGCAGGCCCTGGGGAGGGCTTTGGGCTTCTCGGAGCTTGAAGGCCTGAATTTTGACCAGAATTCCCGTCCTTCCCCAAGACTCCATTTGTCAGTAGCTTGAAAGTTCCAGCTCTTCCATTCATGACATACCAAACAGAAAATGGCTGGGAACTAGATTGCTACCTTCTGATGACTACTCCGGCTTGAAAATAGCACCTTGTAGCCATGAAGGTTCCAAGAGAACCCTGTTTCAAGGCGACCGGAAGGGAAGCATGGTCAGTTTTTGTAGGTGCCCAAACTGAGTGTTGATTACTAAACAACAAGAGAAAATTCTTGTAAAATTTAATTACGAAATAAATGGTATTTTAGCTTTTCTAGGGGCTCTGTTAAGTTGGTGACCACAATGAAAAATGGGAGCCAAGATGATCTGGTAACTGACACACTACCCAAGCGCAAGAGCTCCAAAGAATGGTTGGAACCACAGCCGCTTTCTTTTATGGAGGTATAGTTGTGTGGCTTTTGAGGGTCCTTGCTTAGAAGAGGTGCCTCCTACAAAGTTTTCTGTTGTTCTTTTCCATTTTACTCTATTGGATAGAGTCTATCCCCTTTGCTAACTTTGTACTTACTTACTTTGCTCTTCATGTAAAGTAGAATCATAAACCATTGATTTTAAATTTTTCCTATATAACAAAGCTGTTAAAAACCTACTTAAATGTCAACATGTTATACTTTTTGTAAACAATTTTATTAAAGTATAATTGGTATGTAATCGATATGCAGTTAATATATATTATATATTATATATTAATATATATAATTAATATAATATAATTTGATAAGTTTTGCTTATCAAATAAGCAAATAAGTGTATGCTCCTGAAACCAATATTACACTTATATTCAGTATTCCCAGTTTCTTCATCCGGTCCTTTTGCAGCACCCCTTCACATTTCCCTCATTTCCTGGAACCACTTCGCTATTATGGTTTTGTTTGTTTGTTTATTTATTTTCGAGACGGGTTATTCTGTGTAGCCTTGGTTGTCCTGCACTGGCTTTGTAAACCAGGCTGGCCTCCAACTCTTATCTCTGCCTCCCTGAGTGCTGAGATTACAAGTGTGTGTCACCCTGTCTGGTGGTTGTGTTTATTTAAAAACTTTTTTATGCAATGAAAACTTACATATTCTTTTTTGTTTTTATCTATCTATTTATTTATTTATCTATTTATCTATCACTTTATTGAGACAGAGTTTCTCTGTGTAGCCCTGGCTATCCTAGAACTTGCTTTGTAGACCATGTTGGTCTTAAACTCAGAGATCTGTTTGCCTGTGCCCTCCAGAGTGCTGAGATTAAAGGTGTGTGCTAACATGCCTGCCTCTTATGTATTTTTTAATTTGGCTTCTTTCACTTAAACTTATTTTTCAGTTCATCCATACTGGTTTTTGTTGTTCTTGGGTTTTTTTTGTTTTGTTTTGTTTTGTTTTTGTTATTTTGAGACAGGGTTTGTCTATGTAGCACTAGCTGTCTGGGAACTCACTTTGTAGACCAGGCTGGCCTTGAACTCACAGAGGTCCACTTGCCTCTTCCTCCAGAGTGCTGGGACTAAAGGCATGCACCACCACGCCCCGCTCATTCATGCTGTTGTATGTATCAGTATTCCAGTCCTTTTAAAAAACAACTGCTTTCAGTTCAATGGATATATCCCCATTTTCCATCTTGTTGATGGATATTTGGGTTGTTTTCAGTTTGGGGCTATTAAAAGCTCTTCTAAGCATTCACATTTATGCCATTGTATAGACATGTTTTTATTTTCCTTGGGTAACATTTAGTTGTGAAATCATCAGTCATATGGTGAATTAAGTAAATTTTATGAATCTTTCAAACTTTTTCAGAGTTGTTATTTTACATTCCCATTAGCAGTGCTAAGTTACAATAACAGTTACATTTTTTTCATGTTCTAGCCAATATTTTCTTTAGTCTTAAGTTTTATTATATAGTTCAAAGACTATTAATCAGACCTTGATTTGGTAGGCATTTTTTTCAAGTCTTTCTTGTTATTTATATCTTTGGTGAAGTTTGTTCAAAAATTTTGTTCTTTCTAAAATTAGGCTCTTTATTATTGAGATTTTACTATTGAGATATAATTTATAAACCATAACAGTCACTACTTTAAAGTATACAATTCAGTGTGTGTTTAGTCTATTCACAAGGCTATATAACTTTTACCACTCTCTTTTTGTGTGTTTTTAAAAATTTATTTATTTTATTAATTACAGTTTATTAACCTTGTATTCCAGCTGTAGCCCCCTTCTTCATCCCCTCCCCCACCCTCCCTCATCTCCCACACCCCTCCCCCAGTCCACTGATAGGGGAGGTCCTCCTCCCCTTCCATCTGACCTTAGCCTATCAGGTCTCATCAGGACTGGTTGCATTGTCTTCCTCTGTGGCCTGGTAAAGCTGCCCTCAGGGGGAGGTGATCAAAGAGCCAGCCACTGAGTTCATGTCAGAGGCAGTCCCTGTACACATTACTAGGGAATCCTTGTGTGTGTGTGTGTGTGTGTGTGTGTGTATGTGTGTGTTTGAGACAAGGTTTCTTTGAATATCCTTGGCTGTCCTAGACTCACTTTGTAGGCCAGGCTGACCTTGATCTCAGAGATCTGCCTGCCTCTGCCTTCCTGAGGTCTGAGATTCACTACCATCCTCTGCTTTCTACCACTCCCCTCTTAATTCCAGAGTATTTTCATGATTCTTAAGAGGCAGCTATATCCTTTGGAAGTCACTCCACTAGTTACTGGTAACGGTAATCTACTTTCTATTTCTGTGGATTTGCCTTTTCTAGACATTTATCTAAATGAGTTGCATATAATGTGTAGTCCTTTGTGACCTGGCTTCTTTCACTTGGAATAATGTTTTCAAGGTTAATCCATGTTGTACCATGTATTACTTCATGTTTTTTAAAAATTTTACATTATGCGTGTCTACCGGTGTTTACTAAGTCAGAAGAAAGTATTGGGTCCCCTGAGGCTGGAATTAGTGATGGTTGTGAGCTACCTGACTGGGAACTGGACTCCCTCTTGTCCTCAGGAAGAGTAGCAAGTACTCTTAACCACCAACCTGTTTCTTATTCCCTTCTTCATCCTTTTTATGATGAAATACTATCACAGTGCTTATATACCACATTTTATTTCATCAGTGGCTGAACATTGGAATTGTTTCTAGTGTTTTGTTGTGAACATTGTTCTTATGAGCATTTGTGTACAACTTTTAGTTTGAACATGTTTTCATTTCTCTTGTAACATAGGGTTGGGCTTGCTGGGTCAAATAACTCTATACCTAATTTTTTTAGGAAAACAGCAAAGAGATTCCTACAGCAAGTGTACCATTATATATTCTGAGCAATGTATGATGGCTTCAGTTTCTCCACTACTTAGAGTTCATTGAAATTCTTGTATCTGTGGGCTTACAGTTTCCAAAAATGTCCATTCTCTTTCAGGTATTATTTCCTTCCCTCTCTTGGCACCCTCCACTTCTGTCTCTCTGACAAGGTCTCTATGTTGTCCATGCTGTCCTCAAACTCTGGTCTTCCTGTCTCAGCCTTCTTGGGGCTAGATTTTCAGGCATGTGTCCCTAAGCCTGGATCTTAAGTGACTTATTTCTAATGCTGTACTTTCAAATTTACTGATTCTTGTGTATGTCATCTCCAATCTTATCAACTCACTGAAATTTGTTTCTTTTTAAAATTTAAGAATTAGATTTTAAAATTTAAGAATTAGATTTTTCTACTGATTCTTTTCTTGCTTCTGAAGTTCTTTTGCTAAGTCTGTCCATTCATTGTTAACATATTTTCAGCTATTCCAAAATATCCCCTCCCATTTTTCTTTTAGATAGGACCTCACTGTATTGTGTAGCCTGGCCTTCAACTCTTTGTCTTCCTGCTTCAGCCTCCTAAGTACCTGAAATAACTAGAATTAAGGCATATGTACCAATCCTATAATCTCAAAGTCTTTAGCTTTTGGTTATAAACATGGACCAACCCAGATTCTGCTGATTTTTTTTTTTTTTTTATATATGGCTCACATTTTTCTGTTCCTTTGTTTCTAGTAATATTAGATTCTATTTTAGACATTATGAATGATGTATTATAGAGGACCTGGCTTCTCTTATGTCATTATAAAGAACATTGAACTACCAGAAAGTTAACTTCGCTGAGTTCAGGCTCTACACTTTGCCCACCAGTTAGCAGCTCGTGAAACCACTTAAACTTTGGTTGGGCTGCATAGAACCCTGTCTACACACAGTTCAAGTACTTACTGGAGATTTGGCCAGTTCATTTGTGGAATCTGGCACCTTGTCTATGGCTTCCTTAGCGATGTCTCCTTTCTCATCTCTTAATGGTTGGGCTAAGGATGTGGTTCAGTGGTGGAGCACTTGCTTACATACAGAAGGCTGCCTTTGTTAGCTCTAGTTGAAACTAGTCGGGCATAATGCAATGGGACTGTGTGGCCACTTTTTCTGTGTGTGTGTGTATGTGTGTGTGTGTGTGTGTTTATATTTTTGTCTGGAGCTAGAATATTAATCTACCCATCTTAGTTGGGGATAGCAGTCTTGTCAGAATCAGCAAGTATCTGTGTAAAAGGAGGAAAGAAAATGAATTCTGAAGTCAAGGGTATTGGTTCACACCTGTGATACTTGTGCTCAGGAGATTGAAGTAGGAGGATCATAAGTCTGAGATTTCTTAGCAAGTTTTAGGCCATGATAGAATAGTCAGACCCTGCCCTACCCCTACCTCCAGACTATTAGACACACATTTGAGTTTGAATTGTGGTTCATTTGGGCATGGTGGTGAATATTTTTAATCCCAGTACTTAGGACACAGAGGCAGGAAGATCTCTGTGAATAGTGAGTACCAGAACAACCAGGGCTATATAGTGAGACCTTGTCTCAGAAACAAACAAAAAAATCCTACCAAACCCACAGAAAAAAATACATAAATTTATTAGGTGTTTGCAAGGTCTTGACTAATGATAAATGTGTGCATTTAAATTATATTTGTCCCTATAGCCTTTGAGAAAAAAAAAGTCTCAGTCTATCAAGTAACTGGCCAATTGTCTTGGAAAATTAGATAAAGGAACATAAGATGGACTTTGTGGCTTGGGACTGTAATCCCAACACTCAGGAGACTGAGACAACAAATGGACTGATAATTGGTTTGATGTCAGCCTGGGCTATATAATGAGTCCTGGACAGCCTGGGCTACATTATAAGATCCTTTATTAAAACAATATAAGAAGACTTTTTTTAAAAAAGAGATTTTTATTTATTTATTATGTATACAGTGTTTTGTTTGTTGCATGTATAGCTGCATGCCAGAAGAGGGCATCAGATTTCACCATAGATGGTTGTGAACCACCATGTGGTTGCTGGGAATTGAGCTCAGGACCTTTGGTAGAACAGCCAGTCCTCTTAACCTCTTAGCTATCTCTCCAGCCCCCATAAGAAGACTTTAAGAACAAGTTTTTTTGTATTTCAATATACCATTTTTAAAGTTTATAAAGATCCAGCTATCTATTTGATTATACTTTCATATATATATTTGTAAATTTGTGGATAAAAATTAATCCGTGATTCATTTTACCCACAATCTTTACATTTTGGTTTTATAAAAGCAATTTCAAAAACAAATCAATAGGTAAATTTATTGTAGAAGAGTAAGAAGGGGAACAAGAAATGGAATGGACCTTGTGTTGTTTTATGTTGGTGGCTTTTTCTAGGTATAGTTTTGCCTAAGGTGATGTTAAGCTGGCATAGTGATTATATTAGTTGTATAGCAAGATTAGTTTATCTTGTATGGTTAAAATACCTCGAATAGAGGCCTGTGTATATCCGTCTTAGTCCAGAAAGATAAAACATTTTATCAGCTATGGGAAAAGATGGTTCTAACTATGACATGACTCTGGGAAAGTTATTTAACTGTCCCAGGACTGAAAATATCTGTGAGATGAATTATTTCTTACCCTGGAATGAGGAGTAATGAAGAGCATAATGATCAAAATAGCATTTGAAAAAGTGCTTAGGGATACAAAAAAATTGGATTTCAGAGAACGCTTCAAGGATATGCCTGTCACATAAAAATATAATAAGCACAGATAATGCTAATGATTTTTTAAGATTTGAGTTTTAGACTAATTCTGTTCTTTTAGATTTTAGCTAAAGAAGATACTGATGCAGCTGTTCAATCAATATTATGTAGAGAAAATTATGTAATGAAGGTAAGAATTGGCTACAAAATGCATCTTGATTTTTTTCATTTTAAATGTAGTGTTTACCCAACAACTTTGAGTAAAACTCAAACTTTTAAATAATATAGAAAATAGAATTAAAAATACTCATTAACAATTGGTATTAAGTGGAAGGCATCTCTGAAGGTGTTTGACTAAGTGCTAGTCTTCTGCACTTGGGAGAACTTCCTTCAACCCCACACAGCCGGTACACTTGCACATGCACATCAGACATACACACACAGAAAATAATTTTTCTAGCAAGACTTCGCTTACATTGTATACTGTATTGCCATATTGCCTCACTTCCCACTGTGTGGTACATTTAATTTGTTTAAATAAAGATTGTATTTATTATTATTATATATGTGTATTTATGTATGATGTGGACACACGTGCCATGTGGAAGTCAGAGGACAACTTTGTGGAATTTGTTTTCTTCTTCACCTTTATATGGGTTTTGGGGATGAGGCTCAGGTTGCTAGGCTTGAGTGACAAGTGTCTTCACCTGCAGAGTTATCTCACTGGCCCCGTATATTTGCTTATCAGGAAGGGTAGGTACAGTGCCTGCATTGTTCATGTTTTCTTTTTTTTTTTGGCAGTGGGTGTCAAATGGTGGAAGCCAAATAAAGGGCTGAATGAATGAATGAATGAATGGGTTATTCTTAGGAATAATTTAGGCTTATGAAGTTTGAATCTTACAAAATTTTAGGAAGTAAAAGCTTCAGGATGATATGTTTGTCTTTCACTATTTACTAGGAACTAGATAAGTATTTATATCATCACGACTTCTTAAATGCAAGAAGAAAAGAGATGTTGTATAAAAAATGGGTTGAATGTGTGTCAGATCCTCTCCAGAAGAAAATTATAGAAAAAGTATGTTCACAAAAGAAGATTAAAAAGACGAGACGACAAGAATCGGATGATTTTTTGAGATATGTAAATAAGAAGGTAATAAGAGATCATTTTATGCTTCTTATGATGATTTCAAAATCAAGGTTATCTTTGTTCCCTTCCTGTTTAGTCATCCAAGCAGTCTGCCTCTTTTTTTTTTTCCTGTTTATATACAATCTGTACTCTGATATAGAAAATATATTCTTTAAAAAATTAAATTGTATTTATTTATGTGCCTTCATGTGTGTGTGTATGTGTATGTGTTTATGAGCTCTCAGGGAAGTTACAGTTCTCTTTCCACCATGTTCTGGGGATTGAACTGAACGTCAGTCTGGTGGTAAAGAGCCTTTACCCACTGAGCAGTCTTTTTTTTTTTTTTTTTTTTTTCCTTTTATTTAATCACTTTACAGCCTGACCGAAGCTCCTTTCCTCTCTCCTCCCAGTCCCACCCTCACACACCCCTTCCCCATTCCTTCCTTCCCTTCTCTGAGAAGGGGAGTCCCCTGTGGGTATGAACCCACCCAGACACATCAAGTCCAGCAGTAATAAGTGTATCCTCTTCCACTGAGGCTATCTTGGGGAAAGGAATCCAAAGGCAGGCAACAGAGTAAAAGACAGCCCTATTCCAATTGTTAGGGACCCACATAACGACCAAGCCGCACAACTGCTATATACGTGTAGAGGGTCTAGGTGCAGCCCATGCATGCTCGTTGGCTGGTGGTTCAGTCTCTGTAAGCTCCCATGGGCCCAAGTTAGTTCACTCTGTAGGTCTTCTTGTGGTGTCCTTGACCCCTCCTGCTCCCTCTATCTTTCCTCCCACTCTGCCACAGCACTCCCTGAACTCCACCTATTGTTGGCTGTGAGTCTCTGCATTTGTTTCTATCAGCTTCTGGATGAGGCCTCTCAGAAGACAGTTATGCTAGCCTCCTGTCTGCAAGCATAGCATCATTAATAGTGACGGGTTGGCCCTCTCTTGGGCCAGTCTTGGTTGCCCTTCTCAATGTCTGCTCCATCTTTATCACCCTTCTTATAGGCAGGACAATTTTTTTGGGTTGAAGGTTTTATAGGTGGTTTCGTGTCCCCTTCCCTCCACTGGAAGTCCCACCTGGCTACAGGAGGTGATGTCCATAGGCTCCATAATCCCCACTCCTAGGAGTAAGCTAGGAATATACCCATAGACTCCTGGGAGCCTCCCCCTCCCAAAGGTATGACCACCCCCACTGATTTCCATTCTCTCTCCCAGTCCTCCCTCCTCTCTCTCAATCTGACCCCCACCCCCATTTCTTTCCCATCCCCTTTCTCAGATGTCTATTTTATTTTTCCTTCTGAGTGATATTCAAGCATCCTCCCTTGGGCCTGCCTTTTTCCTTAGCTTCTTTGGTTCTGTGGATTGTAGCATGTTTATTCTGTACTTTGTGGCTAATATCTACTTACAAGTGAGTACATACCATGCATGTCTTTCTGGATCTGGCTTACCTTACTCAGGGTGATCTTTTCTAGTTCCATCCATTTTGTTTTTAATAGCTGAGTAGTATTCCATTGTGTAAATGTACTACATTTTATTTATCCATTCTTTAGTTGAGGGACATATAGGTTGTTTCCAATTTCTGACTATTACAAATAAGACTGTTATGAACATAGTTGAGCAAGTGTCCTTGAGGTGTGGCAGAGCATCTTTTGGGTATATGTCCAGGAGTGGTATAGCTGGGTCTTGAGGTAGAACTTTCCCCAATTTTCTGAGAAAACACCAGGTTGATTTTCAAAGTGATTGTACAAGTTTACATACTCACCAGCAATGTAGAAGTGCTCCCTTTCTTCACATCCTTGCCAGCATGTGCTGTCACTTGAGTTTTTGATCTTGGCCATTCTGATGGGTATAAGATAGAGTCTCAGAGTCATTTTGATTTTCATTTTCCTGATGACTAAGGATGTTGAACATTTCTTTAAGTGCTTCTCAGCCATTAGAGATTTCTCAGTTGAGAATTTTGTTTAGCTCAGTACCCCATTTTTTAATTGGGCTATTTGGTTTGTTGGTGTTTAATTTCTTCAGTTCATTATATATTTTGGATACTATCCCTCTGTCACATATAGGGTTGGTAAAGATCTTTTCCCATTTTTTTTTAGGCTGCTGTTTTGCTCTATTGTTGGTGTCCTTTGCTTTACAGAAGCTTTTCCGTTTCATGTTCCATTTATTAACTGTTGATCTTAGTGCCTGAACTCTTGGTGTTCTCTTCAGGAAGTTGTCTCCTGTACCAATGTGTTCAAGACTCTTCCCTACTTTCTTTTCTATCAGATTTAGTGTATCTGGTTTTATGTATCCGGTTTTATGTTGAGGTCTTTGATCTACTTGGACTTGAGTTTTGTGCAGGATAATAGATATGGATCTATTTGCATTCTTCTGCATGCAAACAGCCACTAAGGCCAGCACCATTGGTTGAAGATGCTTTCTTTTTTTCCATTGTATAGTTTTGGCTTCTTTGTCAAAAATCAAGTGTTTGTGGGTGTGTGGGTTTATTTCTGGGTCTTCGATTTGATTCCATTGATCAACTTGTCTGTTTTTATACCAATACCATATGGTTTTTTATTTCTTTGTAGTACAGCTTGAAATCAGGAATGGTGATACCTCCAGAGGTTCTTTTATTAGACAGGATTGTTCTAGCTACCCTGGGGTTTTTTTTTTTTTTTTAAATTCCATATATTTTGAGAATTGCTCTTTCAAGTTCTGTAAAGAATTGTATGGATAATTTGATGGGAATTACATTGTAGTAGAATAGCTGCTCTCTATTGGTGCAGTATTTTTATGACACTGAGATATCTTATGCATGAAGGGATGACATTGATGCATTGATGCTGTTTTGAAGCACAAGACTAGAATTGTATGGGTCTGGAACTGTATCAATTCCAGGTTTATCCTTTATAACTGAGGGGTACAGAGTGCAAACTATCTAACTTTTGAGTTCTGTCCTCAAAATTAATTCTGTACCTCTTTCTTATGTGTTTTATTTCCTTTTTAATAGGGAAATGCATTTATAAAGCATTATGATACAAAAGAATATGATCCATTTTATATGTACAAAGAAGACCCCAATTTTCTGAAGGTAGGTTTCTTAATGTGATGGTATATGTCTAGCTGTTCTGTGCAGCCTTAACATATACATTGCCTGACCTTTAGTGATTCATTAAAGTTTAGTGGCATTGTTAGAGTGGTTTTCTATCTTATATTTTAGAAAGAAATAAATAACCCAAAGGTTAATAAGTTAATCTCCAGAAAGCATGAAAATGCTGTGTAATAATTGAATAATAGGAAATATTTAAACATTTTAAAAACTTTAAAATTTGTTACAATAGAAATATATTTTTGTTTTGTTTTATTTGTTTCTTAGTTTGCATGTGTTTTGGGACAGGGTCTCTTTATGTAGTGTTGGCTGTCCTGGAACTCACTATGTAGACCAGGCTGACTTCAGAGATCTACTTGCCTCTGCCTCCGTAGTGTTTGATTAAAGACATGTACCACCACACCCAGTATGATACATTCTTATAATAAATGAAAAACCTGATTTAAAAAAAATTTAAAATACTAAAAATCTAATTACCCAAAACTAACTCATTAGTATTTTTTATAACTTTCTGTATGTATTTATTTTTTTAAACTAAGTTTGTGTTAAGCAAATGTTTGCTTTTCTTTCTTTGTATTAAGCATATGTTTTCCCACTAGCTTAGCCCTATGGTCTGTTAAGGAAATTAATCTCTATTGCTGCTGTGTAAGTTAATTTAAGATTAGACATTAAAGCACAGATACATTATTTGTCAAAGTTAACCTGTGAACAGCAGAGCATAAATGAGTCTAGTTATTTAGCACAACTTGCTCTGCTGTCCTTTTCCCACAGACTGAGTATTGCTCAAATGATTTTTTGATACTTACCTCTGTAGCTAGGCTTTATTTTCCCTTAGTGGTAATAGAAGTAGAATTAGTAAGTTCACAGTACCAAACTGTCTGTAGGATAGGGTGTATGCACTGATACCATCAACAGAGTACATTTTAAAAATATTTTGTTAATAGTGGATATTATAAAATAAAGAAATTTTCCAATAAAACTATCTTGGGTCATAAGACACTTTTAATCTGCTGACATTTTTACATTGTTCCACTTTCCTCTGAATTTGTGTTTGTGTGTATGTGTGTGTGCACATATATATATGCTCATGTACTATAGACCCTATTTGTATAGGTGAGAACTAGAGTTTAGAGTCTTAAACATACTGTATAGTAACATAGAGATAGAACTGTGATTTGAAACTGGATTTTTTGATATTCTATTAGTCCATTTCTGCTGCTTTAACAAAAAGCAAAAATTATTGCCCATGATTCTGAAAGCTAGTCTGGTAGCTTAAATGAGAATGGTCCCATAGACTCATATTTGAATATTTGGTCCTAATTTGGTGGAACTGTTTGAGAAGGATTAGAAAGTGTGGCGTTGTTGGAGGAGTTGTGTCAGTGGGGATGGACTTGAAGTTTCAGAAGATTTAGTGCTGTTCTCAATGTGCTCTCTGCTTTGTGGTTATGGATTAAGATGTGAGCTCTCAGCTGCTGCTCTAGCCACATACCTCTGTGCCCTTAATCTGCCATCATAAACTCTAACCCCCTGGAACTGTATGCCTAGTTAAATTTTTTCTTTTCTAAATTGCCTTGGTCATGGTGTTTTATCACACTAATAGAAAAATAACCAAGAAATCTAGGAAGTATAAGATGAGGAAGTCAACCACACTCAGTGTCTAGTGGGAACCTATTCTTAAAGGATGGCAATTTCTGTATGTCTTCACATGATATAAGGTATAAACAAAGCCTCTTTCAGGAGGCTCCAGCCATTTGATGTAATCACCTCCTAAGAGCCCTCTTCTTTATGACAGTGTACTGGTGATGAGTTATCAACAGATGAACTAAGTGAGGGACACAGACATTCAGACTATACTTTATACTGAATTCTATGTTTCCATATTTCCTTTTTAAAGGAATCTGAATACTTGGAATTTTAGCAGCTATTTTTAGATTGATCTCTGTGGACACATGGAATCCCCAAAGCCCTTTTAGGGGATCCATTAAGGTCAGTTGTTTCCATAATAGTGTGAAGTATTTGCCTTTCCTATTGTGATGAAATTTGCACTGATGGGTCAAAAGCCATGGGAGGAAAACTTCCCACTATAGGATAATATGTCCCAGCACCAGATTATGCTTACAGTAAGTAGTATGTTGTCATACACAGTAAAAATGAATGTAATTTCATTCATCCTTGAAAAAGCAGCTAAAATTTTGATACATGGAAACTACATTGTTGTATTTTTCTTATATATTTTGAAACAAATTTCATATATGGTCAGCTGAACTGTTGCTCTTGCATTTTAAAAAACAGACAAAAATTGGTGTTATAGTTTGTCATATGTTATCTGGAAATCCGTAGTGAAATAGCTAAATAGGGCTCATTAACATCTGCATTTTCTTGTATATTTATTACTTTCTGAAATTTGTATTATTATTATTGTGTGTATGTGTATACATGTCATGGTGTATGTGGAGTTAAGAGGACAACTTTGGGAGTGAGTTTTCTCCTTTTACCAGTGGATTCCAGAGATCAAACTCAGGCTATTGGGCTTGGGTGGCAAGTACTGTTACTTCTGAGCCATCTTGCTGGCTTCACTTATCACTTTTTAAAGAGAATACTTAAAATATACTTTCAGCAATTTTAAATAATAAAAAGCATTAATGTTAACTATAGTCACCGTATTGCACAGTAAATTTTTATTTTCAATGTGTTTTTTAAATTTTATATATTTTTGTGCACGTGAGTGCCCACAGAAGCCAGAAGAAGGTGTTAGCTCCTTGGAAGCTGGAGTTACAGGCTGTTAGGAGCTGCCTAACATGAGTGCTAGAGTCTGAACTCAGGACTTCTGGAAGGAAAATAGGTGCTTTGAACTGCTGCAAAGCCAACGCTCCATCCCACCCGTTTTTTGAGACAGGGTCTCACTCTATTGTCCTGGTTGGCTCCTGAAGCTCTCTGTAGACCATGTTAACCTGGGATTCACAGAGCTCAATCTGCTTCTGTCAGAAGTATCACATTTAGCACGATCTGAAAGAAAATTTAGGGTTACATTCAAATAACTAATTTATTAATGATGTTTACATATGGGTGTGGTTTTGCTTGCCTATAATTCTAACTCCTCTGGCTGACCAGGAGGATCCACAAATTGAAGTCTAGCCTGGGCAACTTAGAGATACCCTAAAATAAAAAAGAGAGACTAGGATGACTTAGTTGGTAAAATGTTTGCTGCTCAAACATTTGGACCTGAGTTCAGTTTCTAGCATTCTTATAAAAAGCTGGACATGATGATGTGTACTCCCAGAGGTCACTCCCAGAGACAGCTCTCTGAGGTTCACTGGTCAGCCAGTCCAGCTTAATCAGTGGGCTTCAGGTTCTAATGAGAGACCTGGGATCGGAAAGTAAGGTGGATGACTCCTGAGGAGTGACACCCAACATTGGCCTCTGGTTTCTACATGCATGTCATCTATACACCCACCTATATGTGATTTTTTTTTAAACTGCAAATTAAAAGGGATGGGTTTGTAATTCAGTGGTAGAACACTTAATCAGCATGTGTAAGGCCCTTTGTCCAATTCCCACCATTACAACTATGCCATTAAGGAATTTTATAATTTTTGAGAGGCATCTTACTAGAACTAATGTGAGTCTGCATGTTTCCAAATCATGGAGATATCTACAATTAATCCACACCAACATATATAAATCGTGTGTGTGTGTGTGTGTGTGTGTGTGTGTGTGTGTGTGTGTTTTATAGTAGATCCTGAAAAGAGTACCCGAAGCCTTCTAACCCACCTCCTGGTTGGGACAGATTCAAAGTCACACTAGTCATTCTTGTGGCCTTGTGATGCTGTGGCTCAAATGCTGGTCATCTTTGTGACTCCATGCCCTCAAGCCCAAGCCCTTGCTCAGGTTCTATCGAGACCTCAGATGAGAGAAACTGGGGGACACTCCCTGAGACTGGGCTTCTAATGTGTTCTTTATACATATGCTAGCTCCTTAAAGACCTTGCTTTGAGTCGCTGCAGTACAAAATACTGTTTTTATTCTCACTTCTGCCTTTCTAAATAGAGATATCCATTGTTACTCATCTTTCCTACTTTGACCTCCATTGTGTAGAAAATGGTTCATTTTGCTCTTAGTAATAGGGCTGCCAATGGTCCAGAGACAGGCTAGGTCAATCAGAATGAACCCATTTTCTCTCCTGGCATGGGAAGGACCTGAGTTTTAGAAGTGCAGAAAATCGATTCTTTCAAATCAGTATCTAATGTGTAGCTCTACTTAAGAATTGTTCAACTTAGAGATGGGTATGTGGGCACATTCACAAGAACATCCTGGGATACATCTCAAGAAATAAAGCAAATCAACAACAGCATCAAAATTGGGCTGGAGGGATGCCTACATGTTCAAGATCACTTGCTGCACATTCAGAGGATCCGAGTTTGATTCCCACACCAGGTGGTTTATAACTGGAGTTCCTGGGGATCCACTGCTTTCTCCTAGCTACCAAGGGACCACCTTCCCCCAACATGGTGTATTTACACAGACACACATATAAATAAAACATAAAAATAAATCTTAGAAAATTTCATTAAATCATATTCCTTCAGCATACAAAACTGTCTTAATATTTAATGAATAAAAGCACTTCTCTGTGATGAAATGAAGTATGGCTACCTAAATTGAAAACAAAACAGGCTAGCTTTCTTCTTTTTCACAAGACACCATTTTTACCTGATAGAATGGCTTACAAACTGTGGTCATTATATTTTGGTTGGTTGGCAGACATTTTTGGAAAATGGGTGAAGTGATAATGGCAGTAATACAAATATACATTTTAAAAAAGATTATCCACAGTGATCTGAAAAGGCTGTTAAAATGCTTCCTTCCAAATGTGTATGTTGTGTGCATTTTCATCTTGTTCAAGTACAGCAAATCAAAGCAGACTGTATGCAGAAATAGGCACAAAAATTAGTTGGTTTATTTTAAGCAACACATTAAAGAATGTTATAAAAATGTAAAACAGTAGTGCTTTTCTAACTAATTTTTTGTTTAGAAAATATAGTTTTTAGATAAAAGGTATTTCAAATATGATAGGATTATTGTTTTAAATTAATAAAAGAGATTTCTTAGTCAATTTCAAATATAAATGTGTATCTAATATCAGCATATCTAAATGATATGGATACAAGTTCTTTGGAGCTATTAATAAGTCTTTATTGTTTGTTTCTTACACATGGAAAAATATGTAATGCAGAACGTGGCATGGTGGCATACACTTGAATTCCAGGCCACCCTGGGCTACATGAGTCCCTGTTTCAGCCAAACCAAACATGTAAAATGCTACATGATTTTCTGTGTCCTCCTTACACAGGGGCCCTGGTAGTATTTTCTGTATTGTTCCAGTTTTAGTATATGTGTTGCCAAAGTAAGCACGAACTAAAAACTTAGTCTTTATTATATATCCCCAAAAGTAAACATTTAGTAGACATAGGGAAATGTGACATGGTTGTTGATTAAACTTTAGATGTTATTACTCTCTTTAGAATTTAAAAGTTTTTGTTTTCATTTGTCAAAAAGTCATAGACAAATAATGAAGATGATAGCACTGTTTTTGTCTTTTCACAGAAAGTTAATGTTTGCTCATCCTGTAAGTAGCACTCCATAACTTGTGTAAAAGCAAAATTACAGAGAGCAGTCTGCTCACTGTTCAGTTTGAATAGTCATGTTCTGTGTTACAGTTACCAAGAAAATAAGTCTAATCATGACTGGAAAGACATTTCACAGGAGCAGGAGCAGACTAGAATATGACTGTGACAGATTCCAAATGCTGTTGACTTGTGTTGAATTTTTATTTTAGTAATATTGGCTAGCAAAAGACAGTCCTTTAATGCTTTACAGATAATATGCATGTTAAATATCATGCTAAGTTTTATATACTTATTATGTTGCTGATTATGTTAGGATGAAGATGAACATACATATATATGTTTCCATTTATTAAAGAAAAGTGAATTTTTAAATTTAGGGATATATGATAATGACAGGAGAGTTTTTGAAGACTAAACCCAAACTTTGAAATAAGAGCTAACCTTGCTTTGGGCTGGGTAGATAGTTTAGTTAATAAATACCTTGCAGAAGCACAGGACCTAACTGCGGGTCCCTAACACCTTGTGAAAGACAGAAATCATATCATAAATCTGTAAGCCCTAGAACTCATTGACCAGCCAGTCTAGTCAAAACAGTGATCTTTGGGTTCAGGGAGAGGTAGAGGAAGGCAGCTGACATCAACCTCCGGGCTCTGCAGACCCGTACACACATAGGCATCTGCACACATCCACACATACACCCACATTAACATGAACATGTACATAACCCCTCCCCATACACAGCTAACCTTTCCTCCGGCTATATGACCTGTATGACCTCACAGGAGAAGTGTCAGAGTGCCCCCTTCTCTTTGTAATGTGTTAATAAATACACAAAGCAGGTATAGAGTTTATAGGTCCCATATTCTTAACTCTTCTGACATAAGAACACACATGGGTGCTTAGGATGAACTGCATGTTAATACTCAGACCTGCAGTCCAGTCCTCAAAGAATTCTTCTTTTGTAGGTTGTCATGCCACCATTTCGTGACCCTTTGAAAAAGGCACAATATGACAAGGATGATGAAAAAAGAACTCTTCTTCAGTGTGAAACTGGTACTTAATTCTTACATAGTTTCCTAGCCCACAAGCAATGGCAGTTGCGTTTGAGCATGCTGATTTAGGTTACTAATTTTCTTGCAGGTAAAATCTACACAATGAAAGAATTTAAAGAGATTGAGACGGTTCAGTTGAATTCCAGATTCCCGAGTATTTCTAATTTAAGGCAACGTATAACTCCAAATGAATGGCTTAGAGTGCCCTTGAAATATATAGAAAGTGAATTTTGTAAAAGGAGCAGGTAATACTTGATGTACTGGAAGGTGTGATCTTGTTAGACTTGGAAAATTCTTTCTTGAGACAGTGATATATTTCAGTGATGATTTTTAAAATGAAGTCTACTGTAATTCTTTGTTCCTCTGGATGTGATATTTTTCTTGGATAGTGTCAAGATTCTCCAGTTTTGGTTTTCATCAGGTACACTATTGAGGTATCTAAGCTTATTTTATTTTTTTCCTCTTAGAGTCCTCTAACATTTTCATTTTTTGTCATTTTACATCACTCATTAGTTTTGGGGGAAACTAGCCCACTATCATTTCAAACATTTCTTATGGACCATTCTATCTGCTTTTAATTTCTGAGATCCTGTATATGTGTAACCATGGGTAACATCTACAGTTCTGTCAGTCTTTGATATTGGTTGACTTTACCCATTTTTTCATGTTTTGGTTAGATGATTTCTACTGCACTTTCTACAAGTTTACTGAATCTCCTTGTTGTGTGTTGTCTACTGATGAACCCATCAAACAAACCATCTGTGATGTCACACTATTTAGCACTTCCATTTGATTTTTTAATGGTTTTTACCTTTTTTGAAATTCTTCATCTTTTAGTGCACAATGTCCATTTTTCAACCAGATTTTTCAAAAGCCATACTAGTTACTTTATATTTCCAATCAAATAGATCCAACATTAGGATTATTTCTAAATTTGGTTCAATCTGGTTCTGTTGATTCCTTTATATCTTGGCTAGGCATTTTATTTTACCTATTGTTGTATGCCTTATGATTTTATAATTTCAAAGATTTGTTTATTTTTATGTGTATGGGTATTTTACCTGTATGTCTGTTTAAATAGTACATGTGTCCCTGATGCCTGCAGAAATCAGAAGAGGGTATTGGATCCTCTGAGACTGGAGTTAAATGTGGGTGCTAGGCATTGACCCAGGTCTTCTGGAAGTACAGCCACTGTTCGTAGCTGCTCAACCATCTCTCCAGCCAAGTGTTGTTTGTTTGTTTGTTTTTTGAGACATGTTTCCACTATGCCATGGGCTGTCCTGGAATTCCCTATGTATGTCAGGTTGGCCTCAAACTCAACTCTAAAGATCTTCCTGCCTTTGCTTCTGAGTGCTGGGTTTAAAGGCCTGCACCACTACACCTGACTTTATTTTAGATTTTTAAAATTGAATATCAGACATTTGGAATGGAAAAATAGTAAAGATTCAGTATTTTTCTGTTGAAACTGACATGCCTCTTCTGCCACACATTAGCATTGGGAGATTTGATTTATTAGTCAGAAGCTGATCTAACTTTGGGTATTATTATAGTTGTTGCCTTTAGCACTCTACAAACCTTGAAAACAAAGACTTATTTTATTTATATTTGTCTGGATGAAAGTATGCCATGCGTATGCACGTCACAGAAGCCAGAAAAAGGTGTCAGATCCCGTAGGGCTGATGTTTCAGGCAGTTTTGAGCTGCCCATGTGGATGCTGGGAATTGAAGTTGGGTCCTCTGGAAGAGCAGCTAGTTCTCTGTATGGCTGATCCATCTCTCCAGACCCCTGAAGAGTTGTGTTTTTTTTTGTTTTTTTTTTTTTTTTCAGAAAGATGTTTTTGTTTTACTTTATGTGTACATGTGTGAACCTGAGTGTGGGTGTGTGAACATACATGCAGGTTCCTGAAGAGTGCAGAAGAGAGTATGGGCATCCTAGTGCTGGAGTTATGAGGTGATTATGAGCTGTCAGAGTGGTGCTGGGAACCAAATTCAAAGTCCTTCAGAAAAGCAGATTTAGCAATTTAGCCATTTCTCCAGCCCTGAGATTTTGGTTTTTTGTTTTCTCCTCCTCCTCCAACTCCTCCTCCTCCTCCACCTCCTCCTCCTCCTCCTCCCTCCTCCTCCTTCTTCTTTTAAAGTAGGAATGTTGTGTGGGGGCCTCAGGATGATGGTGAAAGAATAAAATAAAAAGATTGATGTGATAAAAGAAAAGATTTATATAGTTTCACAACTTGGGAGGGCCAGAAAGAAAGTCAGAGAAAATTCAAAGTTGCACCATGTATAGTGAATGCACGGCCTCATGCTTGTTGGGCAAGCGCTCTAATGCTGAACCAGGTTTCCAGCCCAGTGTTCTAAGAGATATTATCATATGTGTTGATTACCTAAGGCTGCCATACTTGTGGCAGTCCTCCTGCCTCTGCCTCCAAAGGGCTGGGAACACAGGCCTGCTCTAGCACATCTGGCTTTATGACATTTTTATATTAGAGTATACCCTCCCGGTATATAGAGGAAGAATTTCAACTTTGCCTACCTAATCTTGGTTCTCAGACAATAGCACATCAGTCTCCATCATTAAGAAGGTACAGCAGTGTCAAGTAATGGTATTTTGGACCATATTTTTGGCAGTTTGTTTCTAACAATAATTAGTGCTTAAATGCAGATGAGCATTGTTTTGTAAATCCTGACACATGTTCTCTTGATAAAGGTTGAAAGTGAAGATGAATTTTAATGCTAGTAGTTTTGATTTGAACCCGTTGAAAAGTGTACCTCATATTCTGGAAAAGCAGAGGAAAAAAAAGACAGTCAGTTACAAGTAAGCCTGCTATTTTTTATTTTAATTTTAATTTTTTGTATTAATTGCAATTTATTCATTTTGTATCCCAGCTGAGCCCCCTCCCTCATTTTCTCCCAATCCCATCCTTCCTCCCTCATCTCCTCCATGCTCTTCTCCAAGTCCACTATTTTTAAAAATTGCTCTCCTTTCATTTAAGATGCTTAGCTGTGTTGCCTTCCCCTACCATTCTTTCAGATCGCTTGAGTAAGTGACAAGGCCACACCACCATTCAGGGTAACTTTTCTTCAGTTTTTATGGTTTAAAGGAATAAATAGCACAAAGGCAGAAAGTACAAAAATGGGGCTGTGGGAAATGCCAACTTGTACAAAAGTTATGAGAGTTTTAGTTTGAGTTTTAGTGTGGTAGGTAGTAGTAAAAAAGTACTGTACCAAAGGTGAGAAGGTACAGCAGAGGAGTAGTTCAGAGGACTATGCACACAATGTGGAAAATCAGTTATCTATGTATTGAGTTAAAAATGAGAGATTTCATACATAGAAAGAACTGAATGTGGTAGTATACACTTGTATTCCCAGTACTTGGGAAGCTGAAACAGGAAGATCTCGGGTACAGCCTGGGCTACATAGCAAGATCATGTGTAAGAATCTTGGGGATAGAGATTTCTCTACATAACTGTAGAGAAAAGTAACTTACTATACTCTGATTATAAATAGTATGATCCCTCATCACTGTTAGGGAGACTATAAAATAGTGCAGAAACTTGGGAAACAGTTTGTCCGTTTCCCAAAATGGTAAACACTAAGTTACCAAGTGACCTAGAAGTTCTACTGATTTTATTTGGGTAGTGTGTGTGTGTGTGTGTGTGTGTGTGTGTGTGTGTGTGCGTGAGAGAGAGAGAGAGAGAGAGAGAGAGAGAGAGAGAGAGAGAGAGAGGAGAGTTTTCTCACTGTAGCCTTGGCTAACCTGGGACTCACTCTATATCTACCTGCCTCTGCCCCTTGAGTACTGGGATTAAAGGCGTACACCACTATCCCCAGCCTACTGCTAGGTATAAGTGAAAACATAGACTCATCTGCAGGCTATTGTAAGTGTATTCATAGCAGCATTATTCACATAAACTGGAAACTCAAATGTTTATCAGCTAATGATAGATAAACCCAGTGTTGTGTACTTATATGATACATTATTTGGCCATTAAAAAGAAGTACTGTGTACACCATGGATGAACTTCAAAACCATCACACTCAGTAGAAGCTAGTCATCAAAGCCCACATATTATGTGATTATTTCATATGAATGTTGAGAAAAGGAAAAACTCTTATAGGGACAAAGCTTACCTAGGGCTGGGAGTGAGAATGGGATAGAAATGTTCTACAGTTAGACAGTGTTAATGATTGCACAAATCCAAGTATCCTAAATGCATCACTTTAATTGCTGATCAGAATTAAAGTTAAAAACCAGCAAGGTAGAACAGAAGAGAGCTCCTTTTTATAGGATGCTGGCCTGTAATTCTGTTCCTAAAGGTGCTGAACTTAGCTGCAGCAGCTTTCTTTTACTTTTCCTTAATAAGCTCAGAAAGTGGTTAATTAAATACACTGTGGCAGGAGCTGGTGGGCTATTGGAGATGCTTGATGTTGACATGAGTAATTGTCTCATAGGCATTGGAGCGATTTAAAGTAAAAACAGATTGAACTGTGTGCAGTGGTATGCACCTGTGTTCCAACTGCATTGGAGGCTGAATCCTGGAGTTTGAGACCAGCCTCCTTATCTCAGAAAACAAAACAAAACAAAACAAAACAAAAAAACCCATTGTGTAGAAACAGATAAAGCTGGCCATTGTGGCCTTATCAGCGTTTTGGTTGTGCAGCTTAATAATCTGATATTTTGTTCATTGAATAGGGGCTGGAAATGAGGAATTAAAAAAATGTTGAAACTAGGCCCTGTTTACTTGTGTATTAGGGTTGAAAGATGCCAATTCCTCCATAATCCCTAAGTGCCACACTTCCTAACAGAGTAAATATGTTTGAGTAAGATTTTAGCTAGCTAGCATCTTAAAAATAATATTCCAGGCCAGGCAGTGTGGGTGCCGTCCTTTAATTCCAGCACTCAGGAGGCAGAAGCAGGAGGCTCTCTGAGTTCTGAGTTTGAGGTCAGCCTGGTGTATAGAATGAGTTCCAGGACAGCCAGGGCTACCCAGAGCAATCCTGTCTCAAAAACCAACCAAACAAAAATTAATAATATTCCATTTAAATTACATTTACTTATGCATTTATTGAGAGATACGAAGGGAGGGAGATCAAGAAGAAGGAATGGAAGGAGAAGGAGATGAGGGAGGGAGGGAAGAATGAGAATGAGCATGCCAGTGTGTACCATAGCACACAGGTAGAAGTCAAAGGAAACTGCCTAATTTAGTTTTCTCTTTCCACCATGTATGTCCCATGGTCAAACTCAAGCCATTAGAGTTGTCAGCAAGTGTTCTTACCTACCGAGCTATCTCCGTGACCCAGAAATCAACATCTTAATTGTAATTCCTATCAATGAGACAAAAATTGGTGTTGTGCTCATTTTTACGCTCTATTTTATTTGGGGTTCCTTAAAGCTCCTCCTTTTCAGCCTCCCAACCCTAGGTAGGAGAGAGGAGGTTAGTGGGGCAACCTCTCCTACCTCGTTAGTAAAGGAGGTGCAGACCCCTTTACTTCTCCCTGCTGTTTAGGGTCAGTGGGTTCTTTTAGGGCTGTACCAATTCTTCAACAGCAGAAGCAGCCAGCAGTCTCCTCCAAGCTGTCGCATAAAAACCATTCTCTGTCTGTCTGTAAGACACCACACTGTCCTCTCTGGTCTCCTCAAGTTGCCACTTGCCACGCACCACACTTTCTTTGTCTGGGCCCTCATATTTATATCCCACAGAGTTCTAGACCACACCCCTCTCCATGCTGCACGAGGCAGGCCATTACTAGCTGGCAAACACCACGCCCCACAGGAGGCAATTATCAGCTGTGGACAAACTAAAGCCCAAACGAAAACCCCACACTTAGGATTAAAACAAAAACATTTATATGATGTAACTGAGTTTTTAAAGAAACCAAAACTTTCATTACAAAGGGTGGATTTGTTTTCATAAACCTCAGTGTGACCCAGATTAAGAATATTGCTTGTCTTGGTTTAATGTCACATTCTCCTCACACCTGCTCCTTTTTCAGGGTTCACTTTCAGACAGTTTGTGTTTTCCACTGCTCTGGTTTTCAGATATTGGGGATTTGTTTGTTTGCTTTGTTTGGTTTTATTTTTTATTTTTATTTTTTTGGGGGGGGGTGATCATCACTGTTGTTTTTTGAGAAAACTTCAAGTCGGGTGGATGGGGGAGGATCAGAAAGGACTTAGGTGAGGGGAAATATGATCAAAATAAATTTTAAAATGGTTCTCAATAAAAATATAATATAATAAAAATTTAAAAATAAAAAAAAGAATATTGCTTTTTTGAGTGCTTAGGGACTTCTGTTTTACATTAGAGGCTTATGTCTGCCACCTCCCCCTAGAAAAGGAGTAAGACTAGCTTCTATGAGTTACAGAAGTAACCCATTGATGGCAACAGGCATGGATAAGGTAGGTATTGTGTAAATTTGTGGGAGATATAAAATTAACATTTGCCCCAAACTGGACTGTTGTCAACAAACCCCAAAATGACTTATTCTAGTTCATGTTAATGAGTAAAATGGATTTATTAGAGGTTACTTATGGAGCAGTAAGTATGGACAGCTCCATTCTGCCCTCTCTCCATCCAGTCACTAACTCCCTTTACCAGCCCATGTTCTGTGTATGACTTTTAAGTATAAAGTAGAACTTATGTAACACTGGGTTTAGAATACAGGCCAGTATGAAAGCAGCATAAGAGGCTTGGACAGTAGGAGGCACAGATTCTGGGAAGATGCAGTCATGTGTGTTCCATCCTCCTTCTTAGGGACTGTGTTCTTGGCAGATACTGTACAGACATGGGGGATGGCTTGTTTAGTGCTGTCAGACCTGAAGAACAGCTAAACAGCAGCTTGCTGCAGACAGGGTCACTCTGGCCAGGTTTTGGAGGACCAGTGTCACTACAGCAGGCATATTTTACATCAAGTTAGACCTCCTCAGGGACAGCAAATGTACAACTCTGAAGGGGCTTGTTCAGGACAAAGGACCATCATTTAGCTGTTTAATTACGTAGCACAGAGGTTTCAGACAAAAATAATGCTAGAGAAAGCTGACTTTTTTGTTTTCTTTTCATAAAATGTAAATTCATACAGACTTCATAAACTTCTTTTTTTTTTTTTTTTTTTTTTTTTTAAAAAAAGTTTTTTTTTTAAACCTTTTTTATTTTTTTTTTTTTTTTTTTTTTTTTTTTTTGGAGACAAGGTTTCTCTGTGTAGCCTTGGCTGTCCTGAACTCACTTTGTAGATCAGGCTGGCCTCAAACTCACAGAGGTCCTCCTGCCTCTGCCTCTGCCTCTGTGAGTGCTGGGATTACAGGTGTGTGCCACCATGTCTGGCTATAAACTTTGGTTTTTAAATAAAAATACTAAGTTCTTTTACTGAGTTAAATGTTAAAAGGATGTCTCCTGGTTCTTCGCTACAGAGAAAAAGGACTCTCCTCTCTGGACATTGAAGCGCTGTGCCTCCAGGAGGGAAAGAACCCAAGCTCCAAAGGGATCAACTGTGAAGGTCACCATTCTGCAAACCTAGGCCAGGAGGTAGAATGAGATGGGGATCAGTTGAGAACTGATCAGGACTACAATCCTGTCTTGTGATATCCAGGGCAGCATTGCTGACATCCCAGTCTAAGCTTCTTGACATGGCAGGCTTCTTAGAAGAGAGGCGACAGTGGAGCACCTCTTCAGTGGGTGAGAGAGTAGAAGAAACTGAGACAGGTGTCCTTATTCAGAGCCAGTGGAGTGTCCTTGCAGTTTGGTGGTGCCATAATGGACATGCCCAATAGTGGGTTTCAAACTGTCTAGGATTTCCTTGGCTCTTGATTGACATCCAATCTTTATACCATCTCTATCCTCTTTCTCCCATTTACCTATAGCCAAGCCAAGCCCCTCAAACGGTTTCTTATAATTCAATTAAGAGTTAGTTTCCAAAAGGACCAATACTAAAAGTAGTAAACTTTAAGAAGGAAAGTAACAGCTTCCAAATGTCAAGTGTTTATAGAGACTTCTCATCCCAAGGTAACTATGGTATTGTGGTGGTCATTGGAGAGACCTTGTCTGACACCCAATCCCACATATTTAGGTATGGAGGGTACTTTCACACTTCAGTTTTCCTTCCCATTTCTGCGTTCTATGGAGACAGTCTCTGTGTGTGTCTCTCTCTCTCTGTCTCTCTCTCTCTTTTTCTGTCTCTCTTGGTTTTTCAGGACAGGGTTTCTCTGTGTAGCCTTGGCTGTTCTAGACTCACTTTGTAGACTAGGCTGGCCTCAAACTCCCAGAGATCCGCCTGCCCCTGTCTCCCGAGTGCTGGGATTACAGGTGTGTGCCATTGCACCCACCTGGAGACAGTCTCTTTTAGGAGTGGCTTGACCCCTAAAAAATGTTTTTTTATCTACTCATAAATGCTTATTAAACTGTCAGCACTGTGTTTTGCCTTCCTTTCCTGCCATGTTTTAGTATTTTTTTCCATATTGTTGCTTACTTTGTTCCCCTACATTTTAATAAATTTTTTTCTGAGTCAGGCAGTATATAAGAGACTGGAGCCATAGTAGTGAACAAAACAGGTAAATCTCTGCTCTTGTAGAGCTTACATTTTGATGGTAAAGATAGAAAACAATCAAAATAAATGCCTAACAGGTAAGTTAATGAGGCAAAGAGAAGAAACCAGATAAGGGGCATCAAAGAAGGGGATGGATGAGGGCACTGTTTTAAATGCAGAAATCAGGAAAGGCTTCTTGGAAGAGATGACATTGGACAAGGCCTTAGAAACTGAGGGTGGGCCAGGAAGAGTTTTAGGAGAAGAACATCCAGGAAGAAAGGTGGGTACACATAGCAGATTGAGGTACAATAAGGTTGACAAGAGGGACCTGAAGAGGAGGTAGATGCCCACTCATATAGAAGCCATTCGAAAGCTTTGAGTAGGGAAACATATATAAATAACTTTTGGGGGTAGTTTTTATTTTGTTCTCCCCACCCCTCACTTTCTTTAAAATTGGTTGTTGTCTAATTTCTTAGAGACAGGGTATGATAGCTTCATGTGGCCTATGCTGGTCTTGAACTCTTTATGTGGCCAAGGAATTCTTCATCTTTCTGCCTCCACCTTCCAAGTGCAAGGATTGCAGGTGTACACCACTATACCTGGCAAAATAATGTTATAAAATGAAGAATATGGCTGCTTTCTAGACAGTTCTATGCAAGCCAGAACAGAAGCTGGGAATATAGCTGTCAGGCCAGGCCAGTGGGGCAGAAACATAATGACCTGAGGCCTAGAGTGGCAGTGTGGTCATAGGGACCTGAGGAGTTTGCAAGCTAACAAAGGGTATTGACATGAGAAATGAGTGAAAGCAAGGAACCAAAGACGTTCTTGAGATTTTTGTCCTGAGGGGTCCGGATGGATGACTCATGACTATAGAAATTTGAGTAGAACTCAGGGTGAGCTTAGGGAAGAAGTGCAAAAATAAAGATAATGCTTTCTGGGGCTGAATTAAAGATAACCGTTTACTATCACAACACACATTTATAGGGTATGATTTTTAAGCAATGTAGGTTTTTTTCTCTAGCTGTTCATTTAAACATGTTGTGGGGCTTGGGATGTAGTATACTTTAAAGCACTTACCTGGCATGTGCAAAGTTCAGTCTCCTGCATCTCAAAAAAAGAAACATGAACAAGTAAGCAAAACACACGCTCTATTAAAGACAGTTCTCCAGTGCTCAGTATTCTCAAATGCTAAGTGCTTCTGATGGTGAAGGGTCTCACTTCAGTAGTTAACATGTCCAGGTAGTATAATGGTCAACAAGTCAGTGTCATTGGGTACTGCAGTTCTTGAGGTGACATCTCTCTTTCCTCATTTTCTTCATTCGTTTTTGATCTCAGTGTCTTAACACTGTGATTCTTCATCTTTTTAGAGTTTTGGTAGGAGGAAGGAAATCTGTGTAGTAGGGCAGGAAGCCCCTTAACCTGCTGTGGCACATGTTAAAAGCAGGCTCTTTTTTCCTCTCATCTGCACTAAGAGAAAACTCTTAGAGCTGGGAGATCTCACCATGACTTCCTTCCAGATAATTTCTTAATGTCGCTGCCTCTAAGCCTCTACTGGAACTCCCATTGCTTTCATCTAGATCAGGCTTCTCCAGAAATGTAACTTAGATTCATTTTCTAATCATCTGATATGTTGACACAGGTGATGCTAGGGACTGTTGAACCTTTAGGTTGAGGTGTGTGTGTGTGTGTGTGTGTGTGTGTGTGTGTGTGTGTGTGTTTTATATTTTTCTGAGACAGGGAAAGGTCTCATGTAACTTGGGCTGGTTTCAAAGTCACTGTCTAGCCAAGGATGAATGTGAATTTCGGATCTTTTTGTTCCCAATTCCTGAATGCTTGCCACGTGCTCAGCTTATGCAGTGGTGGGGAGCAGACTCCAGGCCTTTTTGTTAAGCCACTTCAAGCCTGGAAGAGGGAGTTTGGGACTCCTCCATTTACTTCACATTTTTCAAGGAAAAAAATCCTTTTCTTTCATTAACTCTCTTATTTTTTTTAAACTAGTATGGATGTGTTTATTGTTTGGCTGGTTGGTTTTTGAGACAGGGTTTTACTGTGATGCTTTTCCCAGCCTGAAACTTGATGTACAGACCAAGCTGGCCTCAGATTCAAAGATTGCCTCTAGAATGGTAGGATTAAAGGAAGATCACACACACACACACACACACACACACACACACACACACACACACAC